TTCTATATCTGTCTGAGAAATGGTCATAACTCACTTTTTTCACTGCCATTGTAACTTTGAACAGTCAGTAAACAAATGGTTGCTTCCTCTGTCTAACACAGTTCAGGCATTGTTGATAGAAATGCATCCTTCCTGTCCTGCGCACACAAACGCACCCAGCCAAGAGGAGAAATTGGGTTTTCCGATGGACATTTGTGAAGTGAGTTTTAGCCTGTTTTACGACCTTCCTTGCTGCAGTTGATAAAGGAATGGCTGCAGTTGTTACGTTAACCACACCGTTATTAAGTGAATCTGGCTTCCCCGTGTTAAGGTTCCAACTAACAACTTCCAACCCAATAAACTCCGAGACGGGCATTTTCTCAAAGTTCCATTTTATTTAGAGTTGTCCTATTGGCACATCTGGGAAAACCCGAATCTGAGAGTTCTGGGTTTTCCCTTCCCAAGAGAAATCGGGGGGGAGGGGGGGGATGAGTCTGCCTATGGAGACGAGGTGGACCAACAGTTGCTTTTGTGGTGTGGAGACAATAACTCAACACCAATAAGACCAAGGAGCTTATAGTGGGCTATAGAAGGAACAGTTCAGACATCCAGCCCTTGCTTATCAATGGAGACCGAGTGGAACAAGTGGCCAGTTTTATGTTTCTGGGTGTTACCCTAAAAGAGGACCTGACCTGGGGTGGTCACATTACAGCCCTGGTCAAAAGGGCCCAGCAGAGATTAGACTACCTGTGGCTTCTCAGGAAACAACAACTGTATGGAAAACTGCTGGGGACTTTCTACCACTGCACCAGAGAGTATCTTAACTTACTGCACCTCTGTATGGTTTGCCAATTGCACAGAGGCAGATAGGATGGCACTCCAGAGGGTTAACGTCATTGCCCAGAGGATCATGGGTTGCCCTCTCCTCTCTTTGGAAGAGCTTTATAGCTCCCGCTGCCTTAAGGTAGTTCAAAACATTCTCAAAGATCCATCTCATCCTGGGCAACCCCCCCTTTTTTTATTTGAACTATTACCATCTGGCAGATGGTACAGGACAAGAATAAAAACAAGGACAAATAGGGTGAAAAACAGCTTCTATCCCAGGGCAGCAACTCTATTGAATTCTACTGTGTATGGCAATATTAATGCAATATCAGGGGTTTTCCATTTAATGTATAGAATGTGAAGGATGTGTGTTTGTGTTTATTTTCATAGTCACTGAAGATGGTATTTAATTTCATGGTACGAGATGCAATGACAATTAAAGTAAACTAAAATAAATTCAAAGATACATCCCCTGCACCCACCAGTCCATCACATGGCCCAATCAAAACGTCGTCCCAACTGGAGACATCCTTCCAGACACTCCTCTCCAGGTGCAGGGCAACCTGTCCTTGACTCTCTGAGAAAAGAATGTTGTTCAGTCTAATCCTCCACCTCTCTATGAAATCTCCCCTCCCAAATTCCCAGGCACCGAATGTGGCAGCCTCAAAGCTTCTAAGTAAAAAAATGGCTTCCAAGGCTGACACCCCTTAGATTGTGGGTCATGTGACCCCCAGGGCACTGTGACTGTCATAAATATCTTGTCAGTTGCCAAGTGTCACAACCCAGTTAAAGGTTAAAGGTTCCCCTCAAACACACAGTACACGCTCTTTGTTTCCGGCTCTAGGGGGCAGTGATCATCTCTGTTTCAAAGCCAAAGAGCCAGCGCTGTCCGAAGACGTCTCCGTGGTCATGTGGCCGATGTGACTAAACACCAAAGGCACACAGAACGCTGTTCCCTTCCCACCAAAGGGGTCCCTGTTTTTCTACTTGCATATTTTTTACGTGCTTTTGAACTGCTAGGTTGGCAGAAGCTGAGAGAAGTCACGGGGGCTCACTCTGTTACGCAGCGCTAGGGGTTCGAACCGCTTGAACTGCGGACCTTTCTGATCGACAAGCTCAGCATCTTAGCCCCTTAGCTGCGTTAAAAGGTTACACACAGACAAACAAAGACTTTGTAGTGTTATAGAATGCAAGCCAGCAAAGCTTGCATCCATCTCCAGGGTTTGTTTAAGCTGTCTTAATATGCTGGTTAAGCATGAATACAGGTAGTTCTTACAACCATTCATTTAGTGACCAAAGTTGCAACAGCACCAAAAAAGTGACTTATGGCCATGTTTCACACTTACGACTGTCGCAGCATCCCCATGGTCACATCGTTAAAATTCAGATGCTTGGCAACTGACTCGTATTTATGACGGTTGCAGTGTCCTGGGATCAGGCGGCTAGCAAAGTCAATGGGGAAACCAGATTCACTTAACAACGGCGTTCCAAACGTAAAAACTGTGGTGATTCACTTAACAACCGTGGCATTCGTAAAATGGGGCAAAACTCAATGAACGACTGTCTCGCTTAGCCACAGAAATGTTGGACTCCGTTGTGGTCGCAAGTCGAGGACTTCCTGTAATTCTCTTTTTGGAAAGGACATCTTGAAACTTTAAAATGGGATTTTTGAAAATGAAGAAGGCAGCAATGTCGGACCTCTGAAGCAAATTACAGCGTACAGTGAGTTTATTAGAACTGGTTTTATTACAAAGATCCAATCACCATGTACAGTTTTTACAACTTCCACTTAGCCAGAAGAGAAGACAATGCGTTAATTCCAATTTCCCCAAATCAAAAATCAGCAGTCTGTGGTAGAATTTTCATCTACAACTGTTCTACCAAGATGGGGAACAGAGGCAAAAAAAAAAAGAGAGACACTTGGATTAAAAGAAAGGGGGAGAAATAACCTAAAAATCATCCTGGATGTTATTTTGTGGTGTTCCCCCCCCCCTTGCCCCACTTGGCACTCTCTGTCTGCGTTGGGACTACAGTTCCCAGAATCCTTAGCAGTTGGAATGTTCACAAGATGTTCCATAGCACTTCTGGCTTAAAAAAAAAAGAGGCTGATTTTAATTCATTGCTATAGTTATTAAAATTAATGGCTTAGGGTGGTTAAGACTGCAACATTCAAAAAAATCTCTGGGGTTTGCCCCATGAGTTGGGGGGAGGGGCAGGCCAGCCCGAGTTCGGGAAAGTCACTAAAGTAATGAAATTTATCGTTGTTAGAAAACATTTAGCGTAGTTTGATAAATGGCATCACTGAAATAGGTATAATCCCTTTCGAGTCAGAAACCTTTTGGCATAGTTTTGATAAATGGCACGATTGAAGTAGGCATAGTCTCTGTTTAGCTAGAAACCTTTTGGCGTAGTTTTGATAAATGGCACGATTGAAGTAGGCGCAGCCCCTGCTAACTCAGGTTGACCACCTGCCAGAAATCCACCATAGCTCATTTTAAATTTCCCACAGGAGCATGTGGTGCACAACACAACATTCCAATGCCTCCTTGTGCAAACGATAACAATTCCACAATCTGAATTGTTTCTCTCACTGCTTCAACGCTTGGTGGAAGAAATGAAGGGTTTCACTTTTCTCGTAAAAAGGAGGCAGGGGCTGGGGAAAAGGAAGGGACAGGAACACGGACGTTGTTCCATCCCAGCGATGAAGTTAGCTAGAAACCTTTTGGCGTAGCTTTGAGAAATGGCACGATTGAAACAGGCACGGGCCCCCTGCAAAGTCAGGTCGATCTCCTTCCAAAATTCCACCACTGCTTATCTTAAAATCTCCCACGGGAGCATTTGGTGCAAGGCACGATGACATCCCATTGCCTCTTTGTGCAAACGACACAATCTGCGTGGTTTGTCTCAGGACATTCTGGCATGGATGACCCTGTGCCCAGTCTTTTATGAGTGTGTGTGTGTGTGTGTGTGTGTGTGTGGAGGGTCATCTCTCGTAGCTAAAGTGTCCGCAAGACTAAGTGCTCCCCATTTCACAAGTGCCCACTTTTTTACTAGAGGATTGGAGCTCTCCACACTTGTCTCCAAGATGCCTTCACAAGAAACACAGACCCAATAGCCAAGTGACCACCTTTACCATGTGTGAATCCAGGCTCTGGGGTCAGTTTTAGATTCTGTATCTCGAGCAAAGCTCGCAGGCTGAGGTTGAGCAAACCAGGGTTCAATGTCTGGGGGAACCCAATCCATGGATTCACTGAATCAGGATGTTTAAATTTTGCAATAAACGGCGGTGTTTCTCAACTATGGCAACTTGAAGATTGGTGGACTTCCATCCCAGAATCCCCCAGCCAGCATGCTTGATTATGGATGGACTTCAACTCCCAGAATTCCCCAGCCAGCATGCTTTGAGAAGGAGAGATTTCCACTCCCAGAATTCCCTACCAGCATACTTTAAGATAGATGGACTTCCACACCCACAATTCCCTTGGCAGCATGGCTTGAGAAGGGTGGACTTCCACTCCCAGAATTCCCCAGACAGGATGCTTTAAGATGAATGGACTTCCACACCCACAATTCCCTTGACAGCATGGCTTGAGAAGGGTGAACTTCAATTCCCAGAATTCCCCAGCCACCCATGTTTTAAGATGGATGAGCTTCAAGATGCTAAGGTTGAGAAACACACCAACATGGATACAGTGCTAACTTTCTTCTCCTTCAAAGGCTTAATTTGCTGTGACATCCTCAACTTTAGCCACCTTTAAACAATCCTTTCGATGGGTCGACTCGCTTCCCCCATCGTTTGTACGCTGGGTGGAAGAAATGAGATTCATTTCCTCCCTCAAAAGTGGGCAGGGGTCTGCGGAGAGGAAGAGGGGTGAAGTGGGGGCAGAAACACCGAATTTTACTCCTGGCTCGGAGTAACTTCTTGAAACCCATCCCAGTCATGAAAACCACTTGCAACCAGGAGTGTTTTTTTTTTTAAAAGAGTCTCCTGCTTGCCCTGTCTGGATGGCCTCTGGGTACCCCCACCCTCCCCCCCCACCAGCACCACCCTCAAAGCCAAATCTTCCCTCTCCCCCACACCCC